ATCATAATAAACACATTTGCAAGCTAGAACATTCGGTTCGAGAAGTAATTTTTTGAGCTGGCTTAGATCTTATTTGGGCAACAGGGGAATGACAGTCAAAGTAGGACATCATTTTTCAAATAGACATGTCTGCCGCAGTGGCGTCCCACAAGGAGGAGTACTTTCTCCATGCTTTTCCTGTTGTACACCGCCGAGGTTCCATATATTTTGAAAACGTCTACTCATCTTACGCTTCAGATGTATGCAGACGATGTCAAAATATACGAGATCTATGACAGAAACCGGCACGAAGTTCACTCCTGCAATGAAGAGATCTTTGGATCAGAGGGCATACTGTCCTTCTAGCTTTGATATCCCACTGAATTCAGAGAAATGGTTTATTATGCATTTTGGTGATGTGGAACAAGCTGACTATGAGATTAACGGTTCTTCTGAAGAAGGGCCGCATTGCCAAGGATTTGGGGTTCTGCTTGATTCTGAGTTGAAGTTCCAAAACATATTAATTACTAGCTTGCTTACCCGGCTCCGCCCGGTTCAGTGAAAACTGTGATAAAGGTTCCATCGTTATCCGTGCAGAATCCTCCCCTGTGCCACTTCTCCATGCAAATTCCCTATCGCCGTTTTCTCAGCATGCTCACCTACCCCCTGTGCCAACTCCCAGCCCTCCAGGTTAAACTTTGCGAAAAATCGATAAAATTGATAAAAGTAATGGATGAATCCAAAAACTATTACTGTATTCGTAATCAGCATGCTCGATTACCCCCCTGTGCAAACTCTCAGCCCCGCAGGTCAAACTTTACAAAAAAATCGATAAAATCGATAAAAGTAATCGATAATCCTGAAAACTAATATTGTATTCGGAACCTCCATGCTTGGTTATCCCCCTGTGCCAACTCCCAGCCCCGTAGGTGAACTCAGCAAAAAAAATCGATAAACGATAAAATCGATATCGATCGATGACGAAAAGTAGCCTATGACACCCGCCGGAGCCCGAAGTGTATGTGTGCCAAGTTTGGTCCGGATTGGTTCAGAAATGGAATTTTCTATTCGGAACATACGTACAGACAGACATACAGACAGACAGACAGACAGACAGACAGACAAACAGACATTCAGCTTTATATACAAGATGCCGTAAACAAGCTTATGTCTTATTTGCCATACTTCAATCAGTTCATACAGATGACTCAGTGATTCTTAAACGACTCTATAAAGCGTATGTGTTGCCTTACTTGAATACTGTTCTGTGAGTTGATTTTTTTTAAAAAGAACATATGAAGACTAGAAAAAGTTCAGCAAACATTTACTTGTATTGTGTTTTTGAAATGTTGTGGAAACTTTGCTTTTACTGGAATGCCAGTGAATGAAAATCGTCTCAAGTCCTTGGCAATGAAAAGCTGGGAGCACAGGATTTACCTTGATCACATTTTTGTGTTCCGTCTTATAAGTAAAGGACTTAGACAGAATGCAAGCAAATGCTGAATTTTCAGACCAACTTGCAGGATGGGTGGGTTCAACATTCACTATCCACGAATCAAAAAAAGACGCTTACTTTTGATGTTGAACAGCCTTTTTTACAGAATATCCAGATGGTTCAACAAATTGCTTCCTTCCGTTTTATCAGGACAGAGCGCAGCCGTTTTCAAGCGCAAGATAAATGAGATGGATTTATTGCAAGTTAAAGAATCAGAAAGCTATCAACTGCTCCCTTCTTGCTTTTTTATTTTTCAGACCGCGGTTAGCTTTCCTTTCCGCTAGTCGCACTGGCCGTTTAGGATGTGGTCGTTGAAATGATAACTTCCACTAGTGTTCCTGCTGGCCTATCACACTTCCAGTCGCCCTTCATGGTATGCTTTTCTACATGATTCGAATGCAGTGTTTTTTGACGTTTTAATTTTGCTTGAATTGTCATAGGATGTATCTGGGATTAATCTGTCAGGTTGGTGGATACCTAACGTAAACCAGGCTAGCCTTGGACGCCCTCGAAGCTTATACTATTAGGGCGGCGGCAATGCTACCGCCCTAATAGTAGTATAAGCTCCCCAATACTAATCGTCTTTATGATCCGACCTGTTAAAGTTTGTCACTTTAGCTAATTTTCAATGGCTTCAGTTGGATTTGCAACAAGAGCTAGGTTAGGTAATGGAAGTGTGTGTGTGTGTATTTTAGCAACTAATCATCTTTTGTCAATCCGTTTGTTTTTAAGGCACTTAGAGTGCTGTTTAAATAAATAAAGTCATGAACCTTCGTCAGAAGAGCGCTATCTTGAAGTACGTCTACCCACAACTAACGACGCCTTATCCCAAATCATCACGGTTTGAGCATTGTAGATCGTTGAGTAATAAATAAAATAAATTAAAAAAGGTTGAATCATTCATACAAATTCGATTTCATGTGTTGATGTGAAGAGAGATGCCGAATTAATACTAGGATGCGCAATTCCGAATTTAAGTAGTGACGTAATCAATGTTTGTTACCTCCATTCGACAAGTTAATAATTCGGCAAAAAAAGACTATCGCTTTTCAATTCCTCTTCGTGTCATCACAAAAAGACAAACGCCAAAAATATGTGTTAGGATCATTTGATAGAGCAAAGCAAGCTCTACAAAACCCAGTGTAGTTAGAGAATGGAATATAAAAAGTTCCAATCAACCGAATAATCAAAAAAATTCGTATCCCGTCGAAAAAATGTCTACTGACCCCCCACCTTGCCCAAGGATTTACGTCTTTCACCAAGCATTCATATGCGCGGTTGCTATAATTATTCCTTGGCTAGACACTGAAAAATCGGAACTTCTCACACTGCTGTCAAAATGATGGTGGGCTGCTCCCGCGTGCTCAGTTCTATACGTCTTAGTTTGGGAAGTACGGTACATTTTCAACCTTCTATAAAAGCTTGTTCTCGAGCAATATTGAACTTAGCTTTTTTCCTCTGATCTTCAAATTGAATACGATATTTCTAGAAAACTACGCTTGTGGAACGCCGCAAATCTACGGATGTAGTATCCAAGCCAAGTAGTATAGAATCACTTGTGCGGGAACTGCTCAGCATCATTTTGGCAGAAGTGTGAAAATTTTCGACTATTCAGTGTCTAGGAAAGGAAAAACCGCTTGAGCGCCGTTCAGAACGACGTCAAAAACGTGCATGACCACGGTAGTTTGAAAATTCTTAACTAAGGCCAGGAAAAGACTGAGAGGCTGCAAAGCACAAGTTCTGTAGTATAGTGCCCAGGCTATCCATAGAAAAAATTTCAGCTCTTGAGTAGCAGTAAGCTCGAAAAAATTTAGGTGCGACTCTCGCAAATTTAGACGCGATCCTAAAAAGCAAAAAGGATTTTTGAGCTTAAAATTTTGTAACTTACCAGAGAAGTTATAAAACAGCCTGCAATTTTAATGAGGGAAAGTAGGAGGATGGCCTCATATTACAGCAGTATTGCAGCCAACAAGCATCAATAGCTCCGAAGAAATTTAGATGCGACCCAGATACGACCCCCCCCCCCTTTCGTGATTTTTTGCTTCCATATATAAAATCATAAGAAAATCCACAGCTGACAGAATAACACCACATTTTGCACTGATATAGCAGAGCAACTCCAAAGTACAAATAAATCATATGGGCCGCCTGAAAAACATTGCAAAAAGATTTAGAAGTTCATGATGGTCACAGCTGGTAAAGATATTCGCTTTTGTCGAGTGTGTGAGACTTCAGGAAGGCTTCAGAGGGACTTCTAGGGCAATCGGAACATTTAGCATTTTTACGAAATCATACATTCTTCAAAAGAGTTTTGAGCTCTTGTAAATGTTTTTTGAGAATTTCTACAGATTTTTTATTTTTTTTATTCTGATTTCCACTTTTTCATAGATTTATTGTAAAGAACAAAACTATCTGCTTTTTAATTCCCTTTTAGGCTTAGAGTATTTTAGCCTAAGTGCCTCCTCTTACTACCCCCCCCCCCCCCACCCTTTTTTAGACCACATTATTCTAACACTTGGATCAACTAATTGTTATAAGGAAGATCTAGGTTAGTTTTTATCTTTTTCTCCCTTTATTTTACTCCTACGGCCTTCCTTCACTACTGATGAGATCCGGGGAAGGCCGTATATCAATATAATTTCCGTATAGTGAAAAGATCGAAACGGAAATTAAATATACTTTGTTTTTATTTTATTTTATTAGGTACCCTCTTTACGACCCCCCGTTGCGACAGTCACATCACAAGCTTGACCCTGGCATGGACACTATTCAACCGAGACATATACTGGACTGTATCTGCATGTTTACCATTTCATGTTCTACGACGTTAAAATAGACCGAATATGAATTTGGTTACTTCAAAGAATAAATCGTAGAATTTCTGAAAGCAAGCCATAGAGCTTCAAAAATGCCTTAGTTGGCATAAGGTTTCTACCCGTTGCTTATTCATACTTCCCCAAAAGTCTCAGATAAAAACTGCGAAAATCAGCGAAGTTTGGACATGGTGAAAACGAAGAATTGGAAAAAAACAATCATCTGCAAATTTTTGAAACCTATGTACAGTGTGATCCCGAGTCTACGCTATATCATGTGGCGCGAGATCTGGACCGCCATCGCTTCTTGTGAAATTCATACAGTTTTTGTCCGTTCCGCCCTCTCATTCGGTACCACATGCTCTTGCGTTTTGTTTGATGTGCCATGGTACCTCCTTACCTCACACGATAACTAAGAAAGCGAATGTCGGTCGAACTCATACTAGTCTTTACTGCGTATTAGGGGTGTAGGACGATTCGCACGACCGTAATGCTTTCCACACAGGACCACCGCCGCGCGCGACACACCCTGCGGCGGCTTTTGCCTAAGCAAAACAGGGGGATGAAAGGTTTGCGGCGTGCATTACATGTTATGAGAAGTCAAAATCAGGGAGACGCTGGAGACCGCCCGTGCGAAAAGACCGTCTCCCGCGTATTAGTCTGTGCAGTTACTCAAACTACAAATGTCAAAGAATGCGGAAACAAAATAAGCGTTTTTCAAAAAGACAAACTTTATTATTTTTGGTATATACAAGTAAAGATGGGATCCTAGAATAATTTTGATTGTTTGAACTTAGATGTGACCCACAGAGTTGATAAATGATGACAATCACAAAACTGCACTCATCATCGAATCACAAGCTGCACTATATGCCTTTCGAAAGTTTTCACAAGAAAGCGCCAAAAGTCAAAACAAAGTATTATGAGGGTAAATAGTGGAAAAAATTTGTTTACTGTAAACCTAAATTTTTTACCCATAATCTATACGCGACCTTAGCATGAAATAATAAATGCACGCGCCTTTTGACTATCGTTAGTGCACCGTACGAGTGGTAGTAAGGAAAAGAAACTTTGTAACAAACATGTCAGAACAAACGCTCTTTCTTCGCGAGCTGAGGCGCGTACGGAAACCTAATCACAGCAGATCTGTTAGTAGAAATTACAGGAAGAGTTACAGGAAACAACGATATCTACAAAAACAGATGAATGGTGAATGTTACAGAATTTCTAATTCGATAGTATTTAGAAATGTCCCCAATCATACTGCATGTTGCGGTGATCGATTTCGTATTGGTTGACCACTTCTTCAGATATCCCTTGTTGCAGCCAAAGCTGACGCAACTTATGGTATAAGTCTTCGTTCAAATGCAGTGGATTTCCTCTTCTGAACATTTATCTTAATACATTTCATTCCCAATCGAGAGATGCGACAAACCTGAATCCTTGATCAGCTTCTCCAAATTCGTCAACATATGGTGCTGGACGGAAACATCCACGATTGCGAGTGGTCATCAGCACAACTGCACAATCACGTATTCTAAAAATAACAAAGACCTTCACCACCAAACTAACTGTTTTCAGTCATTTGACAAAGACGGAAAAAAAACTCGAAACACTCTCAAGCTAGAAAAAAAATCAAAACAAATTCAACTTCGATAAAAATGGCAGTAGAAGTACAAAAAAGAAACAAACCTGAGAAATACTCCCATAGGACCTGAGCAGTGTATCATGTGATATCTACAAGCACCAGTGCTTTCTTTTCCAACCTGAAAGCCATGATTGGGAAAGAATGTCACTTTCGTTTCCCTAATGAAATGCATACCTGCTTTTGGCAACAATAACTTTGAGAGCAGAGTATCTGGCCGCATACTAAGCACATTGTAGGAACGTTAGCTGCGTTCTCCTCCAGAGGTATAGAAGGGCACCTTGAATATTTTTTTATATAAAAACACTCATTTGAGATAACAGCCTACGAAACGTACCTGAATGCCGATGCCATGTGAATAACATCACTGAAATCATGCGGTAATTCTACCAGCTGCGTTGCGCGAACTGGTTGACGAACGATCGAGTGGGGAGTGGGAGGTGTAGCAGCGGACCACCTGGAAGGAAGCTGCTCTTGAAGAGAGAGTGAGCCCAAAAAAGCTCAATACTCACATGTCGAACAATTGTTCTACAGCAAAACCATCTATCAATTCAGCTAGATGATATGGAAGTCCCATGTATCGACAAAGTGGTTCGAATTCATCGACAGAGGGATCTGAATGGGAATCATTTTTCGCCCTTTCAACCATTTTGACAGATAAAGAACCTTTCAGAGCTTCAGGTGGATTGACTAATGTCAATGCATGATAGAAAAGAGCGAGTGGACGAAGTAACGATAGTGTTGCTTCAGTAAGTGTCTAAAAGTACAGATTATAGATGCATGACGCAGAAAGACGGTGTCGCACCTGATATAATCTAGGAACATCCACCAAAACCGAGTCAGTGGGTCTCGCTATTGACCACAGTAATTTCAAACGAGTTGCGACTGCTCCGTCAACTTTTGCAACTTCTTGCGCATCTGCCATGTCACTATCCTCGAATGTGACGAACACCTAAACAAAAGGACCTAAACAAAAGGAGTAAAGAAACCGTGAGCTTGTGCACATTTATCGAGTAATGCGGATAAATTATACCTGGAAGTAAAGCCCAGTCAAGCAAAGTCTCAGAACATGAAGTTCATCCTGCGAACCGTCTGGCAACATCTCCCGCAACTGTCGAGTTGGTTTGAATGACTGCACACCATCATGCCAGGTCCAGCCGACTGTCATCATCAGTGATATCTACAATTGCAATGGTTACATGGGATTTCTCCTCAACAAAAAAAAAACTCACAGCTAAGCTCAACATATCTACATGAAGCAAATTGATGTTGACTTCTTTCTTGCTGGAAAACAATTGAGCAAAAGTTGACGACAACAATTTTGCTGGTGAATCAGCAGAAGATGAAAGTGGCCTGGAACAAAACATCCTTCTATACGTAAACGATCTCAAGAAGCAGCTCATATAACTTACGAAGGACTAGTGAAACTGTGCACCGGACTCGTTGTTGCATTATCTGGCGAACGAGGACTGACGGGAACGGCACCTGCGGCGGCTGCAGTCACTGGCGGTGGTGGCGCGAGCAAAACGCGTAGCATATTTGCGGTGAAGTCAGGAAGGAGTTGTATACAGAAAGAAAGCACTGCTGATAAACGAGCCATAGCCAGAAGGCAATCACGCTGAAAATCATTCTTGCAGAGAGAAAACTGTCCAAAAAATCGAGACAAATTCGTAAACGAAGTGAGAATAAAAAACATTCGGAACCAAGGCAAAGTGCCCTTACCTGACGAGTGTTCATGGCACAGAAAAGCGGCTTATTCTCGTTGGATAACACAGCAGCAGTAGTTCTTGCCACATGTGCAGCGCTCTTCCAAACAGCCAAGGCTGCTGGAGGACTGTGTACATCATCATGAATCTCCCTTGACTTTGAATCATCCGGTCCACGCAATCTTCCCTAAGAGTGGTTAGAATGCGCTTTCATTCCCATAGTCTTGTACTAACCTTATGCAGCAGCATGCTGCTGAATACTTTCACCATCTCCTCATATCGCTCATAGGATGGTCCCACACTGGAAATAAGATCAATGAATGCAATTATTTGAATGAAATCGAATCAGGTAAAAATACTTACATCTTTCTAAGTAACTTCAACAAGACTGCCACTCCAGCAGCTGGCAAACCCCTGATGATGCCTCCTAGGAAACCGAAACGCGATGTGCCATCACTGCGACGTTCACGTCTATTTGCCAAATCTGACGATGTGGCCGTCTCGTGCGGTGGAGGAGATGTCGGCTGGAAGGGACAAGAGACATAATGCAACTACTGCAGATGTGAGAGACAGAACCCAAACCCACAAAGACTTACTTCCAGCTCTGTGCGGGCTTCCAAGTCCTGACCGCGCATGATTTCTGTCATTTCACGGAACAAATCTACAGCTTTCTGTGGATCTTCGTCATCTATATCTAAATTTATTAGATTGTAGCATAACGACTGAGGGAAAGTCTCGACATCTGTCGCCTGTTACGGATACTAATCGTCGGTTGGTGAAGTAATGCGCATAATGCCCTTTTCAGTGGTTTTGACGATAGATCCAGGTAAATTTCCTCACCCATGGCAGTACATGAAGCGGTAGACACTGTCGGGGAGACAATGTGAGTAGGAGATTTTTGCCCTAATAACAACGACATGGTCGACGCAGATGGAACGGATGTAGAAAGTGAGTTGTCCAAAGGCATCGTGGAAAGTTCATCTCCTTGTTTGGCAAGTTCCAAGAGTGAGCGTTCAGAATGAGACCTGCAAGATCCTTGTTGTAGCAGATACGGTAACTACTACCTTTACCTTTTCCTGCTGTGCGACTTTGGCTTCTGAGTAGGAGTTTGTCGCACTGGAGGCGTATCGAGAAGAGCTTTCACTCTTCCAACCCAACTATCAAAATCTTCTACATCATCACCACGAGCAGTCGAGAAACTAGAAGAATACCAAGCTGAACATCTAGTTATGAAACTCAATTCAGCACGTACCCATCGATATCCATTAGTTGTAAAGCAGGCAGCAATGGCATGGCGGTGTTTGAAAGACGTTTGCAAAGAGGACAAAGGTACTCACCAACCTAAAAATGCTCTGATCTATATGAAAGTCAAACATCTAAATGCAAAAGGCACCTCTGGGTCCACCATTTTTTGATTGAAGACCATCTGTTGGCGTGGCCTCTGGCGTTCTCTGCTCAGAAGAGTCTCGGACAAACTGCAACAAGACCCATATTCAATACAATATACAAAAAAAGTGACCTCCCATTTTGGTGGTACTATAGCATCTTATATATAAAGCTGAATGTCTGTTTGTCTGTCTGTCTGTATGTCTGTCTGTATGTCTGTCTGTCTGTCTGTCTGTGTGTACGTATGTTCCGAATAGAAAATTCCATTTCTGAACCGATCCGGACCAAACTTGGCACACATACGCTACGGGCCCCGGCGGGTGTCATAGGCTACTTTTCGTCATCGATCGATATCGATTTTATCGATTTTTATCGATTTTTTTGCTGAGTTCACCTACGGGGCTGGGAGTTGGCACAGGGGGGTAATCGAGCATGGGGATTCCGAATACAATATTGGTTTTCAGGATTATCGATTACTTTTATCGATTTTATCGATTTTTTTGCAAAGTTTGAGCTACGGGGCTGGGAGTTCGCAGAGGGGGGTAATCGAGCATGGGGATTCCGAATACGATATTGGTTTTCAGGATTATCGATTACTTTTATCGATTTTATCGATTTTTTTGCAAAGTTTGAGCTACGGGGCTGGGAGTTCGCGCAGGGGGGTAATCGAGCATGGGGATTCCGAATACAATATTGGTTTTCGGGATTATCGATTACTTTTATCGATTTTATCGATTTTTTGCAAAGTTTGAGCTAGGGGGCTGGGAGTTGGCACAGGGGGGTAATCGAGCATGCTGATCATCCCCAAGGGGGTGATCAGCATGCTCGATTACACCCCTGTGCCAAATTCCAGCCCCCTAGCTCAAATTTTGCAAAATCGATAAAATCGATAGAAGTAATGGATAATTCCAAAAACTAATATTGTATTCGTAATCTGCATGCTCGATTACCCCCCTGTGCAAACTCCCAGCCCCGCAGGTCAAACTTTACAAAAAAATTGATAAAATCGATAAAAGTAATGGACGATCCTGAAAACTAATATTGTGTTCGTAATCGGCATGCTCGATTACCCCCCTGTGCAAAATCCCAGCCTCGCATGTCAAAATTTACAAAAAATCGATAAAATCAATAAAAGTAACCGATAATTCTGAAAACTAATATTGTATTCGGAATCCCCATGCTCACTTCCCCCCTGTGCCAACTCCTAGCCCTGTAGGTGAACTCTGCGAAAAAATCGATAAAAATCGGTAAGATCGACATCGATCGATAACGAAAAGTGGACTGTGACACGCGCCGGGGCCCGAAGTGTATGTGTGCCAAGTTTGGTCCGGATACGGCGGAGCCGGGTAAGCCAGCTAGTTTCTCATATAAGGTTGTACAACACAAGTCGGAGCTCGTCCCCTCGTTATGTTTTATCAAACGGCCATTCAACAGCTGGCAGCTGAACGCAGTAGAATTTACTGACCTGTGAAAACACTCATAGTGCATGGTATGCGAGCATGTGGATGCGTCGATTCCAACGAGTAGATTGGCGGGTGCCAAATCTCGAAGCTTAGCATCTGTTTCTGGCTCACCTTGTTGTGCAAAAAGTCTCGACCTCAAAAATAACATTTACCGTGATAAACATAAGAACAAGAGATCCCGCTCACTTTTGCACATAAGCAGCACAAACGAAAGCCTTTCCATTGCTAGGACTGAGAGTTTCTTCTTCTTGACATAGTATGCACGTGACTTTGCGAGGCAAAACTACATCAACGCTACTTTTTTGCGGTCCAAGACATACTGGGAAGCCGTGATCTTGTTGTTTGCTGGAAAAGCTGTGTAAGCTCAGAGAAAGGTAAGATGACGAAACGCGACCCACCTAACAAAATCTTCGTCATCATCACCACGAAGTTCGGATGCAACCCCGCCAGTACCTACTTGTTCCGTGATAGAAGGATTTTCCGTCTCCATTACTTTCAAGAAAGATTTCTGCATTTTCGACATCTGAATAGGAGCAATTCATATTGAACATCTGCCACAACATTCGTTTACCTTCATCATTGCTTGTTCGCGCATTTTTGCTGCTCGCGCAGCTCTCTTTGCTCTAGCATCGTCGACGCTCTCATGACTTTCAACGCTTTCCTTCGGCTTTTCAGATGTCTTCCCAGTCTTCGATAGGAGTTGCACTTCTTTAAACTTCTGCAACCATAAACAAGATAATTTAAGACAACAGGCTAATAGGCTTCTGATAATAAGATCCAGGATTTTACTAACTTTTCCAATCGCTGAGATAAATTTACGCAGTTTATGGATGCTAATAGTGCTTGATGTAACAAGATAATAGCGAAGAGAGAAGTAAAAAACACTGATATGTTGAAACAGCGCTGACCTATGTTGAATGAAAGTTGAAGATTGCAAGCTGAAGATTGAGCTACTCAACAAAATCTCGATCACTAAAAAAGTGCAGCAGAAAATTTCAAAAGTGTAGATATATTACGAAAGATTTTCCATACTGGTGTTAAAAAAATCAAAAAATCATGAAAGATGAGAAAGAAACATTCAAAACAAGATTGTGTGCACTTATAAATGGAGCAGCATCATACCTGAATTGTCCACCATAGCAAGTCTGCATGCGTGGCAACTTCAGCGGATCCGGACAGCGCCTCCAATGACCGCAGCAACTCTTCTTTCTCAGCCACTTCGGTGAAAAGAAATGCTTTCGAATCGCGTGCTTGTTCATGAAGAGCCATTCCGATGAGATAAAGAGCCTAAACAAAGTCTCTTCATTCCCTAATCAAAGAAGGAAAAAGTCGAACCCTATGCAACAAGCGGTCGCTCGAAAATCGGCTACGCTTTCCAGTTCTGTCCAAAACGAGTTTCAGTATTTTGATAAGACATGGAGTTTTGAGAAGATTCCTAGCTGGAGCGAAGAAAGGCTCGAATTCGCAGGGCACTGGTGGTGGACATGCTTGCAACTTTCTGAAAACAATAAAAACTTATTAAGAAGACCAAGGGACTTCTAAAGCGGGTTTATTTGATTTGTATTTTTCAATACTGACCGGTCTAGTTTGGAGTTTGTGACCTCACTTATCCTTTTCCCTGTTCGAGGCTTTTCCATACTCCAGGTATATCTTAACATGCGTTCCATCACCTAACGATTGGAACGATCAGTTACGGGCACGATTTTTAGACGGATGCCAGTCGCTTATCAAATTTTTGCATAGAATGCAGGTGAGTGCATTGATTGTCTTTTTTAGATGGTACGAGCATACTTGAAGTTGGCAACACTATTGACAATCTCGTGCAAAGAGATACGCTCAATCATGGGGTCGTGGGACATGCGTTTTTGGATCTGAAATATTTCTGAAGATTATGGAAAGGCTGCTTCGAGTAGCTCATGATTTACTAGCATTGAATGCACTTTTTCTTTCAAGTTAAGAAAGTTCCCCAGAAAGCATTCCACAATTTCTAAAGAAGCTGCAATTTACATCCTATACATCTTTTCCTCCAATAGCAACTTTTTCACACGTCATCCAACAGGGTTGACATCTTTTTCTCCAATCATGTGTATCTCCTTTGTTCCCTTCAAAAGCATAGTCTCCGTATCAAAAGTGCACTCAATGAGGCAAAAATTTTCATGCAAAAATGACAACCCCCATTAGCCTTGCAGCTCTAGATTTGATGTTCTTCATTAGTGCTAATCTACGTATCTCAGGTGACGAGAAGTGGCTTACGTGACTGAAAGGCTGTGGACCAGTGCATAAAACATGCACAACTTCTCGCTGCACTTGCTCAGAATACGTGCATTTTCCAACACCTGGGTGATAGCGCTCACCTAAAGCAACAGAGCATGAAGAAGAAAAACATAACTTGCAATGGTAAGAGACAACTATTTAGCGAACTCGAAAAAATCCAAATAAAAAAGATCAGCGCTTGAAAGTGACTGACCAATAATCATTATCAGCAGGTGCAACATTTCTTCAGCTAAGATCACAATGATTTTTCCAGTTTCTTCCGGCTCCATCTTTCCGAAAGGCGTCGAGTGCTTTGAGCCACCATCTCCGGATTGATCAGCCCATTGAATCAGACGGAAGCGGCATATGATGTGCAATAGGAAATCGGTGGGAGGGCGGATAGCAGCACCAACCTACAAGGATTCCTTGCATTATACGTTTTTTTTGATTTGCTGTCTTTGATGCTGGAAGAAGGAAGAACTTATGCTAGAGCGGTGAAAACTTCGACTTCTTTATGGCCCATAATCAAAATCATCATTCTTCAGAAAAAGGACTCGAACAAACCTGCATCATCAGCAGATCGCGATCAAACATCTCTGCACGACAAAGCGGAGAGTAATAGTTGTGTATCTGATTCACCAATGAAAAACCATTGCGCCGCCATAACTGAGCCGAGGCTTGCGCGCACAAAACGAGTGCTCTGTAGAAATATCTTTTTTTATCCGCCAAAGTTCCGAAAGATTCACGTACCTTAGTGGCATTTCATACAGCGTACTCGCCATCTTCCTCATTTGCTGCCTTATCGAGATTTCTTCATCTGACAAGGAGGAGACATTCGTAGACACTAAGAAACGGAGCTGCTCTTCGCTGGCCGTGAAAAGACCAGCAGTCAGCCTCCAAAGTGGTTGGTGTATAGAAACAGCTCCGCGAAGCACGTCAAATGGAATTACGACAGTAGATTCTCCATTCACTGAAAAGGAGAGCCTTCAGTACATATTTGCAAGACTGCAGCGTCCAGGCAGATCTGGACCTATGGGGCTTTTACGTGGAAAGTACTTTTGGGGCCCTAACTAAGGCACTGCCCAAGCGGCAGCTCAGGTAGTGCTGTAATGGCTGAGATATTCCCCTCGAAACTGGACCCCGCGACCGTGTTTCGCATGGATTCATGGCGCAAAGCGTGGATCCTGGCGCGAAACTGCCATGAATCCATGCGAATACGTTCGGGGGCCAGTTTCGAGGGGAATATCTCAGCCATTACAGCACTACCTGAGCTGCCGCTTGGGCAGTGCCTTATTTAGGGCTCCAAAAGTACTTTCCACGTAAAAGCTCCATAGGTCCAGATCTGCCTGGACGCTGCCTTCAAGGGCAGCAAAAAGAAAACCACGTAAGTAACTCTTATGTAAGTTGAAAAACGTGGCCTTGAATTTTACAGCGTACCATCGACAACTGTATGAGTGGCTCCAGCGGGTTCTTCCAAAGATGATGGCGGGTGTAAATTCAACGCATCCAGACACTGCAGTAATAGTCGGCGATGTGTGTCTCTCTAAACAAGGTATGGAGGACCAATAACCAAAATCTAATAATTATATGAATGTGCTTGAATATTCACATCGGCTGCAGCCCAAGCTATCACATAGCCAAGAATGTCCTGTATTCGAAGCTGAATGTTAAATGCCGTTTCCCATTCCAGTTCCCACACCTGATGTTCTACTGACTGCCGCTTCACTTCGTCCATTCCCTGCAATCGTGTTTACCAAAAAAATCAAACCACCATGTGCAAAAAAAATTAACAAGACCACCCACAATAAAATTGGTAGAAAAAAACCGGAAAGTATGCTCGTACCATCTAAAAAAGACAAATCAATGCACTCACCTGCATTCTATGCAAAAATTTGATAAGCGACTGGCATCCGTCTAAAAATCGTGCCCGTAACTGATCGTTCCAATCGTTAGGTGATGGAACGCATGTTAAGATATACCTGGAGTATGGAAAAGCCTCGAACAGGGAAAAGGATAAGTGAGGTCACAAAGCAACAAGCGGACATACCCAAGATCTCGCATCATGTGCATTCCTCTTCTAACCGTAACTGGGAATGAATGCTTAGCAAAGTCGAATCGCGACATTTGATCTTTAGGATCTGTAAAAGAACCACGCGATAAGAATGTAGCAAGCATCAAAAATGATACCTTTGGCAAAATCTTCGGTATGTTTTATGAGTGCAGAAAATATCGTGCGCATGGCATCGTCTTCAGCTATCAATCGCCTGGATTGTCCCATTTAACAAATGAAAAAGAACTGGATTATTTACGATCACCTTGCTATGCTAGGCACTGTCAAGAATTGCACAGTGAGACTAACGATGGATATGTCAAGGTCGTGATCATCATCGATGAACTCCTTGTAGATGTCCTCATAATGCTTAACACGACAGGATAATGATTTTTGAAATTTTCATTCATTGTAGATCCTACCGCAAGGAACGTTTTGGAAAACACCACTTTCTGATCAAAGTTCATGAGGACGGTCTTCATCAACATTTGGTGGGTATTCGCGCGTGCAGCTGAAAATGACGTTTATACCTCGGAGAATACTGATCACCATACAAAATTGGCCAAAAAAATAAATGTTGAAACATACACTTCCACATTTTCTTGTCAAACCGCAAAAGACGAACGAGTATTGTTTCCTGACTAGAGAAGTCATCTTCATCTCGTTCAATCACTGTGTTGAGCAAAACATCGCCAACAATGGAACCAAGTATGGCTAAAGTAATAATAATGCTGATGATCCAAATACTAGAACAATGCGACCTTTGGAAAACTTACGAAATGCATCTATTTGTGAGTTGAGCCAAGCAAGTAATGCAATGGCATGATTTTGATGCGCAACAAGAGCTCCGTCTAATACTTTGACATCCAATGGACCCGCTTTTTCTGTCCTTCGATTCATGTCCCTGAGCGTTCGCCGCTAAAAATCATATGATGTTTTACAATCTGGAGCCTTTACTTCAAAAACGATTTTTATTCATAAGGCAAGAATACCTGTATATCGGTTTTCACTCTTTCACAATCTTGTTTCGCTCCAACTTTGACCGCACTACGACCTTCACGATCCACTATTGTGGCTATCAACATTGCTTGATCCTTCGTGCAATTGATGAACATTTCCAGGGCACGAATAACCTAAAAGACATCCAAATGCGCATAAAAAACGAGAAGGTTTAACAGCTATAGAGATGTGTATTCACCGTTTCGTAAGTATGCGTTTCGTCATTATATAAAACCGTAACATATGGAGCTATACTAGTTACTTCGAGTCTTTCTGCGGGAGGTTGCCTGCAAACAGATTTGTTCCAGACTGCAAAGATGTGGCAAACATTGTTTACGTTAGATTCAAAGGCAGCATATCTGTTTTTTCCCAACATATCAGCTTCGTAGAATATTGGAGGATAAGACGTGTCAACCCTCGAAGTCGAGTTTCCAAGTTTTCAGGAAGGGAAAATTGCACAGTGCTAAAACACGAGTAAATCACTTCATGAAAAAAGAGTAAGAATATGAACCCTGACTCTTCTTCTCTCCTTTCGTGAGTTTTGCAAACATATCCGCTAGTCCAGGCATCTTCGTCCCCGCAATCACAATATCCCGCACCAGATGAAGTATGGATCTGAAACTGAAGACTGCTCAGTATTATGCATATACGCTGTAAATCGAATGACAGATAAAAATTCTGAATATTTTCTTAAAGGCAGCGTCCACGCAGATCTGGACCTATGGGGCTTTTACGTGGAAAGTACTTTTGGGGCCCTAACTGAGGCAGTGCCCAAGCGGCAGCGCAGGTAGTGAGATATCTAACGGCTGAGATATTCCCCTCGAAACTGGACCCCGCGATCGTATTCGCATGGATTCGTGGCAGTTTCGCGCCAGGATCCACGCTTTGCGCCATGAATCCATGCGAAATACGATCGCGGGGTCCAGTTTCGGGGGAATACCTCAGCCGTTAGAGCACTATCTAAGCTGCCGGTTGGGCAGTGGCTTAATTAGGGCCCCAAAATTACTATCCGCGTAAGATCCCCATGTGTCCAGACTTGCCTCGACGCTGCCTCTAACAATTATACACAAAAATTCAAAGCTGCACAAAAATAGCGAAGTTAGAAGAGAAATTCCCAAAGCCAAAATTCTCGAAAGTTTCATACCCTATTAGAAGCGACAGTTTCCGATCTCCAGGTCTTCGTTCGGACGCTGTTTTGCCGCTATCGTCTTTTATCGTTACACGAGCGGCCGATCGAGCAATGGGCACCCACTGCTCGATCGGGCGCTCGTTTAACGATAAAAAGCACCCAACTAGACATAAGGACAGGAGATTGTTGAAAACCGTCCCAAGACTCATACTGCGTTGATCTGGACGGCCTACACTATGTGAATCGCGTTATGAACAGGCACTTATTTTGTATCACCTTTTATCGAAAAGTCAGATATAAAGCACTAACACTGTATTTATGAGACTTGTGCTCCGATAGATGAAAACAGGCATGGCACATAACACAGGTGGCATCAGTCGCGCAGTCTCTGGAAAAAAAAAACTGATGCAGAACCAGTATCACCATCTGAAATAGGTAACGCAAAATTTGTTCTACTGGTAACACAACACCAGCGTGCGACACAAGATCTAGACCATACTGGGAGTGATTTTTTTTCTAGTACAGTTTGTCATTTTGTCAGATGATCATCTTCTGCACATAACACAATGTCTGCGTACAAATCATCTCTGCTTTGAAACAAATGCGCAACAAACATAGACAGAGCGCGCGATGAATCTCCAAGCATCTGGCAGAATGCCCAATCAAGTGGCATTCACACTGATTATTACTGCAAGAGAACGTAATGCCTGAATTTTGCCCGAGTTGCCAAAAGCAAATTGAATTCAACCTTCAAAGCGGAAGTAAGAATCTATGGAGATTATTTGAGCATATAAGCAAAAACCACATATGTTCGTTCTCTGAAAGCCAATTTTAAATTCTGCATTGATTTTCGGCGCTGAAATTGAAGCGAGAAGCAGTGGAAGACAACAGACGTTAATGCAAAATTGCCGCAACATAGATGCATAAAAAAAGCCATGTAGGCGCGAATTGCTAATTCAGTGAAGATAAAAAAGAAAGCACTCAAGACTTTATTTTGAAAGAGCTCGCAGGGCTCACCTGGATGGATCAAAATACAGAAAAAAAATGACAAAACGCACTTGCAGCTATAAGTAAGCTCTCCAGTTTTGAAAACATGGCCACATATTTGACCAGGCCGTCGAGTTTCGGCTGAAAGTCCCGTTTGTTCTATCAAAGGGCGAAGCGAAGAATCCGTTACAGCAGAATCCGCACAGAACGCACCCGCCAATGGCACAAATAGAGCTTTGTCTGGAAGAAAAATTCTTGGAAAAAATTCTCAAAAATCGATTAGACAGAATGGCTAACGACATTCTCTCATATTTGTAAAAATTTGTAAAATATAAACTCAAAGCTTAGCAATTGTGCTTCATTATTCTATATTCAATTAGAAGACTGTGATTCTCTAAGTGAGAAAATGCGCTTACTTATGTCCTTGTCGTCCTGTGCAACTTCCCAAGGATGTTCTGGATTCGGGGCATACAGCTTTGGACATTCGGAGCCCCAGTGACGATATAGCAAATCGCGAGCATTTTCCCAGTTTGCTTGACGTGCAGCACTGACCAGGTCCACTATCATTCCCAATTTCTATTCTTGTAAGCAACAATGTAGCATGTAGCTGGAAACTGGGTCGATCCCTGCAAAGAAACGACGTTCAACGAATGCAGAACGCGCAAGACACGAACACTCGAAAGAACATGTTCTGGACAGCGCACGATGATTCATTGTGATGCAAAGTTCAGAAAAACGGTGAAGCACAAAGTGACCAAGATCTAACATCAATGAGATGACCAAGTTCAATAGTTGTAGTGCAGAGAAAAAGAATGTAATTACTGCGATAAGAGTACATAAAAGATAAGGAGAGCTCAAAAGTTCTAAAAACACATCATGAGATGGGAGACGAGCAAATTTTGGAAAATCCTGCTTTTCCGGGTTTGAAGCATCTAAGAAAGTGAATAAAACGCATATATTACGAAAATTGGTTACAATTACTGAAGATAAAGCGTCGAAAAACTAAACTCTGGCAAAACTAGAGCAAAGTATTCGCCGCCACAGGTCTCACTCTCAACACACCTCTAATTGAACATTTCGAAATTCTTGCAACCCAGACTGATTTTAATGTGATAAACGAGGGCAATAAAGAGTGACCAACACTTTCGCAAGATCAGCACAAATGTGGAAATCAAAGATGAGAGGCAACGCGCCACAGAACATTGTTGTTTCTCGACTTGGGTCGATGAACAGCCGGCTGGCACGAAATCGGCGAAGACCGCGTGAGGGCTGCCGTTGCACCACTTTCAAACCACAGTGCGAATTTATGTTGGCTCACAGTTATTTTTTCATCGCTTGGCAGTCGAATCATGATTGCTCTCAGGTTCATGCAGAGCGGAGCATTACAAATATTCGATGATGCTGACAAACTTGTCAAACTTCCGCGTTGAAGCATTGCTTTTCGAACTCCTTTATCAAAATCCATGAGGTGCCTATATGCCCCCCCCCTAACGAAGACGGGGACCGACAAGCGCCATCAGGCTAATCGCACGACCCGCGCGCATTTCTACTTGCATCTTTCAATGCCCATATGCACTACACATTGGATCGAATCGAATAAATATTCGAGTATTCGAATGAAGTATTCGAATAAAATTTACTCGAAATTCAATTGATCGAAAATTTCAAAGTCTTGAATATATTCGATATTCGGCACTATTCCACATTGGTTGACCCCCAAAAAAATGAAAATTGCGAATTTCGCTAAAACTTCGTCTAGGGGGATTATTTTGTATGCTGAACACAAATATAATGTTTATCTCGTGTGACAGTGTCATCCGGTGGAGTTACGGCAGGATTACGGTGGGGGGGGGGCAAGATCACGGATTTGCCCAAAACTTAGCCCAGAGGGGTTATTCGGCCCGCTGATGCTGAATATCACATTGGTTTTGAAGCGTAGCGTCCTTTTCTCGGGTTACGGTTGCTACACGGTAACGGGTGTAAAACATCGTTCTGCCTCAAACGGGTGACGGCGACTCGGACGATCGTGAAGCTTTGCACACACGACTATCGCCGCGCGCTACACACCCTTCTGCGGCTTTTGCCTAAGCAAAGCACAGGAGAAAGATACATTTGCCGATTTGTGATTTTGACCCCTACCGTAAACCTACGTATACTGACTCGTGAGTCAGTATCTTCACAGGAATGCGGAGAATCAACGCGAATCACAGAATCACAGAATCACAGATAGCTAAGGTGTGTGATAGTTGTTATGAGAACAAGGCTTTATCTCTTTGCTTCACAGACATTCTTTGTATTATGTTTATGTATTTGATGTATATGTTTATGTGTTTGCTGTATATAAGCTAGCAGTTAGAGATGGCTCACTGTTCCTTTTTTGCTTTGTATTAGTTTAGCCTTTTCTCTGCACGACTCATTGCACGATAGGTTCTCCGCACTACACCGTCTGTAGGTAGTCACAGTCACAGTCACAGTCACAGTAACATCAGTTATCATGTAATTGTACTTAGAATAGTTGTAGGATTTAGTTTAGCACCTTTGCGCATTATTTGTTATTTGTTAGTCTTAATAAAGGTTTAATTACCCAAGTTTGAGGTAACACTCGAACCGACTCGCGCACGTCCTCAAAGTCCCGCGTGGCAAGCTAGAGCGACACACGTGTCAATTCAAGTGGTGCATCGGACCAATTGAAGAGGAATCCAAGCCGCACGTAGAGGTACGAAACTCATTTGATCTCACTGGTTCCGAGATATACGCACGAGCACGTAATTTGACACAACAGCGAATATGACCTCAACAGTAAGAGCCTATAAAGGACTGACGACTAAGCGAATTGATAACGTACTAAACTGGTTGCGCGAGTCATCTAAACTTCTCGACCCCGTAGCACCTGACCTTAGGCAAGGGCAAGCACAGAAAATTAAACTGGCGATAGAACTGTGCGACGAAAACATCAGCCTTATGGAATCCTCCCTCACCAAACTCACAGAAGCCTTTGATAGGATAGAAGACACAGACAATGAGGAAGAGGAACAGCTAGACAAGTATTTAGAGTCGGCACAAGAAACAATAATAAAACTACACGTGCACAAAACTAATCTCAAGCAAGTAATGCATGAGATTGGGCAGGAGAGTAGTGGTAGTAGCCATGCAAGTTCACTAGCCACGAGCAAACTCCCTGTCATACCCATCCCAGTTTTCTCAGGCAAGAAATGGGAATGGGACAACTTCTGGGCTCTTTTTAGAGCAAGTGTGCACGATCAGGAGCTGACAGAACTCCAAACATTCAATTATCTGCTGTCGTCCCTTACAGGGGAAGCGAAGCAATCAATCTCGAGATTCTTCGTTTCAGCAGAAAACTATGGGAAGGCTATCCAACTTCTTGTTGACCGATACGGCAACAAAGATGGGATAGTACTAGAACTAAACAAGCATCTTCAAACCTGCATTGCACGAGGACCAAGCACTATGGACCAAAAACAGCTCTTCGATAAGCTGTCAGCCATAGCTGCCCAGCTCACAGAGCATGGAGAGCACCTCGATAACCAACTAACAATACAAACTTTCCTACAAAAATTCCATGTACGCATAAGAAAAGCGGCCATGGAAAAGAACCTTCGTCAGGAGGAAGGCAATTGGACACTCGATCAGTGGCTTAAAGCCATCGATGAAGTCCTCACACAAGAAGAAAAGATAGGCGAGATACTCGCACTCAGCACTCAAGCACCAACCAAAAAGAATTTCATTCTTAACAATGCTTGCGAATGCTGCGGAAAGAAGGGCCACAGATGGGTTATTTGCCCTACAATCCCCACAGCTGACGACAAGAGATACTTTTTGGTTGCGTCAAAAAGATGCCTTAATTGCGGATCCAATAATCACAGAATAAGCACGTGCAACAGCGGTAGTTGCCGCAAGTGCGGAGGAAGACATCATACTGCAATTTGCACGAAGGCAAAGGCATCCTACGAACCTCGTTTCGAAAGTGCTTCCTCACACAAGGAAACAAGGAGTTTTGGCAAGGAGCAATATCGCTCTGAAACCAACTCCTTGCAAAAGGAAGGAAGAACTTTCGGCAACGAAAGTACAACCAAAAAGTTTGACAAGAAGGATAAGATGCTACAAAAACCCATTAAGTCTTCAAAACTGTACGCGGTAACCACGAAGAATCAGGAGGAACAAGAGCCTGATACTCCAGCAGTGTTGCAGCTACAACGGAATGAAAACCCTGAAAGGACAAATCACGGCAAAGTCATTCTGCTCGCCGGTTCAGCAGATGTGGTGGGCTCGGAAGGAGACACAAAAACTGTAACCGTTCTACTAGATACGGGTTCAGAGCTCTCCTTCATAGAAAAGAGCCTAGCGGACGAGTTGAAGCTACCCACGCATGGCACCACGTCTCTGCAAATAAGCACCTTCGGATCACCAAAACCCGTAAGGAAAATTTGCGGACTAACGAGTTTGAAACTGAAAGATAAAGAGGGCACACTGCACGAAATCCATCTGTACAAGAACGACTTCATTACGGGCGCAATTCAACGAGCAAGTTTGAATCAAAAGGATTTGCACTTTATTGAAACGCAACAAATTCCGCTATCACTTCCCTTAGAAGGAAAAGAGGTGCAACCAAGAATATTACTTGGTTGCGACCACTTATGGAACTTCGTAACACCTGCAAGCAAGATGCGCCTACCCTCAGGATTGCAGCTCATTCCAACGATACTTGGATATATCGTGAGCGGACGTCAGACAACGCAGGAGACACAACGCCCAATAACACTCTGCACAATTCAAGGGTATGACGAGGAGAAGGAAACCTGGGATCGTTATTGGTCGCTGGAATCCTCAGGAACCGAAGAATACACAGGTTCACAAAAAACCGAAGTCAAGAAGTTGAACGAAAAAGTTCTCAAAGACTTCAAGGACTCGATCGAAAAGCGTGCAGATGGATACTATGTACGCCTACCATGGAAGGAACAGCACCCACAATTACCGGACAACAAAGCACTAGCACTGAAGCGCTTGAAGAAAGTGCTAAACGTCTACGCGGAAGATCCAGACACTCTGCAGATGTACGACAATGTCTTCAGGGACCAACTGGAAAAAGGAGTCATAGAAGAAGTAGCACCAGATGAGGATTCAGAAGCGCACACCGTACACTATCTACCACATCAAGCAGTTATCACTCCTATGAAGGAAACGACGAAGATGCGTATCGTGTTTGATGCATCGGCACACTACAAAAACTGCCCGTGTTTAAACGACGTGCTGCACCAAGGACCTCTAATACTACCAGACATGCTGGGAATACTTCTTCGCTTCAGAATGCACGATATTGCAGTCATTTCGGACATCGAAAAAGCGTTCCTGCAAGTGCGATTACAAGAAGCCGATCGTGATGCTACTCGATGCATATGGATAAGGGATATCAACCGTCCCCCGACTTACGAAAACCTGGTCGTTTACCGATTCACAAGAGTAACGTTCGGACTCAATGCATCACCCTTTCTCTTAAGCGCCACAATCGACTTCCATCTAGAGCGCACGGCACCGGACGACGCACTAGCACCAGAGATAAGGCAGAACCTCTATGTTGATAACTTACTCTTTGGTGCACGATCATCAGAA